AGTGTCATGTACAAATTCTCAGCAATAACATCCAAAATTAATAACGTCAAATTGTACATGAATAATCATGATAATGCACTTATTGTACCACAAGTAAGCTGGTTTCAAGACACAACTGACCTACTCCTTGGGAAAAAAAAACGGAAGAGAACTTCAAATAATAACAAATACATGGTAATAAGAGAACATCGCCTAAAACAAAAAGTACATTAGATAAAGCTTCACCGCTTAGGTTGTATAACAATTTATAAAGTTTTTAAGGGTTTACTTGGACGTTTCACATGACAGAAAATGACATGACCGATATCCCGATAGTTATGGTATACCCAAATTGAACGTATGACTATTACATAGTTAGATACTACATAAGAAATGTGCAAACATGTTGCATTTTTTATTTCTTTTAATGCTAATTAGGAATATATATATATATATATATATATATATATATATATATATATATATATATATATATATATATATATATATATATATATATATATATATATATATATATATAACATCTAGCCACGTAAGACTTGTAGTTCAACCAAAATGGTGTATAACATAGAGGTGGCAATGAGTGGGTTGGGTTCGGGTTCAACCTATTTAATAATTTGGTTGATAATTTCAACCCAATCCAGTTTATTTGTTTAAATGGGTTGATATTTCCAACTCAATCCAACCTTTTAGATAAATGGGTTGTCATCAGGTTGATTTATTTATGTAGTTTCCGACCCCACCTATTAAATAAATAGGTTAAACTTGGGTTAACCCATTTAAAATCAATTAAATAGATTATATAATTAAATATTATACCATTTAAATTATAAAATGTAAATAAAACTTCATAATTATGACAAAAGCACAATCTTAATTCATAAATACAAATAAATTGTTCAAATAACATTAAAAATATTTAGTTTTACAATGATTTTAAAGAGTGATCAGTATCATCAACGTTAAAAAAAGGTTGGAAATTAGGATTGAATTTTATTAAACATAAATAATAATAATGCAACATTATAAATTACAAATTAATACTTTGATTACTACATGATAATATTCAAATAATATTAAATTAAATATATATATCAAAGTTAAATAGGTTGACGTATTAATAATTTTTATCCAACCCAACCTATTTAATTTAATCTGTTAAATGGATTAACCCATTTAAATTAAATGGGTTGAAAATCTCAATCGAATCCGTTAATTGTAGATTAGATTCGAATTGAATTACACATTGGATCCATTTTTGGTCGCTCTAACATAGACTAAACTGCACAAATGGTCCCTGTGGTTAGCTCAAAATTGCCACTTTGGTCCAAAAAAGTTTGGACTAGCATCAGAGGTCCAAACTTTTCATTTTGTTGTGAATTTGGTCCAAAATTTTATGAAAATATTTAAAATGACGGAATTGTCCTTTTGAGTTTGTTTTTTCATTTTCTTTTTATTACAATAATTAAAAAACAAATAAATAAAATACAATCCCACCCCACCTCGATCTCCTCTCTCTCTCTCTCTCTCTCTCTCTCTCTTTCTCTCTCTCTCTCTCTCTCTCTCTCCCCCATACAATACCCATCTTCTACATGATTTTTACACAGAGAACTACCACCACCACCACCGGCCGGAGATATAAACGCCGCCACCGTCGTCGTTGCCGACCAAAGATATGAACGCCACCAACATTGTCGATCAGAGATATGAACGTCACCATCGCACAATTGATACCACTCACAGTAGCTAGAAAACCATCGATTTTCCGGCGGAGAAGACAGAGATGATGTAAGTCGACCAGATCTTCAACTCTGATGAAAGTGGCGCTGAAAAACCCTTGGGTTTTTATGCCTCTTGCAAAAAAACATTAGGTCCGGTTGATTAGGGTTTTATGGCGGCGGCTGGAATAGGGTTATATGGCAACGATGTTGCAGGTCGACCACGAAAGGCAACGAATCCGCGGACTCCAGATCTAGACATGAAACCAATCATATCGGAGAAAACAAATAGAGAAAGGGGGTGACGACTCCGGTGGTGGTTCGACGACAGAACGGTTCAGAGACAGACGACTGATGGTTTCTTGCGTTGAAGGGTTTTCAGAGTCGGAGAAGGACGAATCCGATGGTTTCTATGTCGTCGGTGTCATTTTAGGTGACTGACAGTTTAAAAACCATGAATCGATGATCAGTGGAGACAAATCCAACGAGCTAACAGGTAAGATGGTAGGATCTGGCATACTCTGGTGTAAATGGAGACGATTTCAGGCAGTAATAGTGGTTTCCGACGAACAATGGTCGTTCCCGGCGATGGTAACGGTGGTGTTCTGATTTTTCCGATCGGTTGTTCAGGTGGGATTGGGAGGATATAGGAAGATGAAAGTGGTTATGGGTGTGGGAGATAGTAGGGGTGGGTGGTATTTTTATTTTTGATTTTCTTATAAATACAGAAATAAAAAAGAAAAAGATAAAATATAAAAGTGAGGGCAATTTCATCATTTTAAATATTTTCTGAATGTTTTGGACCAAACTCGCAACAAAATGAAAAGTTTGGACCTCTGGTGCTAGTCCAAACTTTTTTGGACCAAAGTGGCAATTTTGAGCTAACCATAGGGACCATTTGTGCAGTTTACTCCTCTAACATATTAACATAAAAATTTTGAAGACCGAAGATGGTGTATATATATAACATAAGATTATTATTATTATTTTTTAATTAACTAATGTCTTATACTCTTATTTGGATTGAATGGGGGTTCGGTTCACTAAAAAAAAAAACCGTGTAATCCGGTTCAGTTTTGCCAAATCTTTTTACTGACCTGAACCTGGAAATCAAACTACAGGTGCTTGCCTGCTTGGGCTCTGCGGACATGAGACGTCTTTCTGCTCTTGCTTCTAGGGTTGAGCAAATCCCAAATCAAATTACACTCAAGTCACAAAATCAATCAAAGATTCAATCCAATTCTTCATCCCACCACCAAAACCCTCCAGTCATCACCACTAATTTCACCGCAAGAGGTAAGTTTTCTTCAGTTAACTCCCAATCGAAAACCCCCACTCATAAACCCATTGATCATCAGTACATTTCTCAGATTCTTTCAAGTAAAGATTGGTATTTGCTACTAAACCACGACCTAAAATCCAAAAAACTTAGCTTAAACCCTCGGATTATAGTGAGCGTCCTACAGAATCAGGAAAACCCATTACACAATTTGATTTTTTATTTGTGGGTCTCGAATATCAACCCGTTGTTCGCGAAGAACCAATTGATTCGAGGCGTTTTAGCAAATACCCTTTACAGAAAAGGTCCGGTTTTATTATCGAAGGAGCTTATTAGTATTGTTAGAACTTCCGGGTGTTCTATTACAGAAGATTCACTTTGTATTTTGATAAGCAGTTGGGGGAGATTAGGTTTAGCAAAGTATTGCTCTCAGGTTTTCGATCAAATTTCATATTTAGGCCTTACTCCTACTACGAGATTGTATAATGCAGTAATTGATGCATTGGTAAAGTCCAATGCACTTGACTTGGCATATTTAAAATTCCATCAAATGAAAGCTGACAGATGCGACCCTGATAGGTTTACTTATAACTTCCTCATCCATGGAGTCTGCAAAATCGGAGTTGTAGATGAAGCCTCAAGATTATTGAAACAAATGCAAGAAATCGGGTATTCACCAAATGTATTTACTTATACAATACTCATTGATGGCTATTGTAACGCAAAAAGAATCAAAGAAGCCTTTAAGATCTTGGAGACAATGAAAGACTATAAAGTGAGACCTAATGAAGCTACATTTAGATCATTAGTCAATGGGCTTTTTCGTAATTTTCATCCACTCGAGGCCTTTAAACCATTATCCGATTTCATAGAACATGAACAAGTGTTACCCATAGCAGCCTGTGAATCTTGTTTGCACTGTCTTTCAACCACATCTATGTGTAAAGAAAACGCTATTTTCTTGAAGAAAGTTATCAAGAGAGGTTATGTTCCTGACACTATGACTTTCAACATCACTATCACTTCTTTACTTAAAGGATTTGATCTCATGGAAACATGTGACATCGTTGATGATTTGATTCAAAAAGGCACAAATCTTGGATTCAATACTTATCTTCTTCTTATTGAATCTTTATACAAGAATGGAAGCCCATTGAAAGGCGAAAAGTACCTAAACAAGATTCTTGAAAACGGGCTTTTAACAAATGTGACATCATACAACATGTTAATCGACACATTTTGCAAAATTTGCATGATCAATAAAGCAATGAAAACATTCCTAGACATGACTCGCCTCAACATTTCTCCAAATCTTGTCACTTTCAACACTCTCATTTCATGTCATTGCAAGATTGGTGATATGCATGAAGCAAGAGAGCTTCTTAAGATGTTAATACAACGTGGATTTGAACCGGATATTTATACTTTTAGTTCATTAATTCATGGTCTTTGTAGGACCCACCAAATTGACGATGCTTTTGATTGTTTGAAAGAAATGGTTGAGTGGGGTGTTCATCCGAATTCTATAACTTACAATATCTTGATTCGTTCTTTATGTGTAATCGGTGATGTTTATAAAGCAAAGGGTTTGTTAAAGAAGATGAAAGTCAATGGGGTCAAACCGGATGTTTATTCATTCAATGCTTTGATTCAGAGTTTTTGTAGGATGAAAGAAGTTGAGAAGGCGAAAAGGGTTTTACAGATGATGTTGACTTTAGGTTTGACTCCTGATAACTTTACTTATAGTGGTTTTATTAAGATGTTGTTTGATTTGGGGAGATATAAAGAAGCTAAAGAGTTGTTTGTATCGATGGAAGATTACGGATGTACCCCTGATTCTTTTACATGTAATTTGTATATTGATGGTTTAGTTCAATCTGGTAGGTTTATTGAGGCCCGAGATATGTTTCTCAAGTGTAAAGAGAAGGGAATTGTTTTGAAACCGATTTCAATTTTATAAAAAAGGGTATTTTGGACATTTCACGAATAATTACAACAATACGTTTTTTTTTTTTTTTTGTGAAGTTTTCAAGAGTTACTTGGTTACCCTTTGTTACAATGAGAAAAGATTGACGACATTGATTTGGGTCTAGAAGGCTACCTTATCGTGTCAATGTTGAAGGGTATTTTGGTCATTTCATGTAAATTTTCGATGTGATCTGTCAAGCATTCCAATTTTCTTTCGACAAAACGAGTATCAATTTTGATAAAATGAAAACCTCAAGAGGGTGTTCAGTGTTGTGAATTGTATCAAGAATAAGCTGCAAATCCAAGAGACCTTAGTCAAAATTACCTTATTGCCCCTGTTCGTGGTATGCATGCTCAATGGAAAAACTGTAAATTAGGTTTGATTTTAGCGAAAGAAACATTGAATGAAGAAAAATGTTGGTGATTCTCCCAGCTACTATATCTTTTTAGTCAAACCCTAACCCACCAATTTTGCTTGAATTTTTTCTCATTTACCAATCAAATTCCCCCAAAAAATAATTTTTCTACATACTTTTTACCCACAAAGATGAATTTCGATTCATCAAGAATGTAATAAATGGCAGATATAATCATATAATTCTTCATTACATACACAACACGATAACACATCCTTCACCAACATGAATCAATCTCTTTTACCTCTGATGCTCTTGTTCTTAATTCTCGTCAAAACAGGTAAAACCCTTTAATAAATTTCAATTAAAAAAAAAAAAGTTTTCTTGATGAAAGTGATATGTTACAGGGGAATCTGAAACGGGAATTGCTGGAACTGGACTGGGGTATCTACCTGAACCAGGCGGTGGTAATGGTGGTCATGGGGTGGTGAGTGGTGGTGGTGGGGATGAACCTGAGGTGGTTATTGTGAAGGCTCTTCAATGTTTTAGTGATAAACATGTAAGGTTATATGTTACCTTGCCTTAACTAGTTGTACAGTTGGGTACAACCCTGATGCATGAATTTTGATTCGTGGCAGATTTATAGGAGTTGTGAAGAGTCTTGTAGGTTGACTGAGAGCGGTCAACTCAATGTGCCACGTGGATACACCGATGAATACTGCAACGGGCCTTGTTTAAAGGAGACGCATCTTGTGCTTAATTGCATTGATGATGTGTTATCACATTTTGTTTTTTATAATCGTGCTACCGTAAAAGATGTGAAGGAAACGATAAAAGCGGGTTGTAGCTATGGCCCACATAGAGGTAATAGTTTGGTTATGGGATGGTATATACTTGTAGTAATGGATAAGGGTTCGAGGTTTAACCGTTGACTTTCAGTGTGAGAGTTTTAATTCCATTGTTGATTCGGTTAGTTGTTGGTACCAGGGCAAACACTTATATAAGACTTATCTTACGTCTTTGTCTCTGACTTCTATGTATATATGTGGTTTGAGTCTCAATAGCTCCAGGCTTACAGTGTTGGAGCTTTAATTTCGTTCTGGATTTGGCTCTTTGTTGGTACTAGGGCAAACACTTATGTCACATTTGTGTCTCTGACGTCTTTGTATATGTATATATGTGGTTTGAGTCTCAATAGCTATAGACTTAGGCGCCGTTTGTTTTTTCAAAGCGAAAATCTTTGAAGTTTGTGGACTACCTCTGCAATCCTCTCAGAAGAGAAGGACCTAGCATAAGAGAATGACCAAACGGATGTAGTATGTAATGAAAAGTTTGTTTTTTAACCTTTGCAGACTGTTGCAATAAAGTTAAAATAATGTGTGAAGAGGTTTGAAGTAGAGGGTCAAGTGTTGCGCCACGCAGCATACACGTATCAGTTTTTAAGTCAGAAGTTTTTTGAAAAACAAACAGCTGCGAAGGATCAAGTGCTGCGCAGCGCAGTAATAAGTGGTCAGAATAAGTTTTTTAGAGAAAACAAGCACTACCTTACATTGTTGGAGCTTTAATTCCATTGTGGATTGAGCTCTTTCTTGGTACTAGGGCAAGTAATTATGCCATGAACCTAACGTCTTTGACGTCAGATATGCCTGTGTCTCTGTTGTCTGTGTATATATGTAGTTCGAGTCTCAATAGCTACAAACTCATACTGGTGGAGCTTTAATTCCATTGTGGATTCAGCTCTTTATTGGTACTAGGGCAAGCACTTGTGTTACAGAACGTCTCTAACGCTTGTTTGTATATATGTGGTTTGAGTCTAATAGTTACAGGCTTATAGTGTGGGAGCTTTAATTCAATTATGGATTGGCCTGTTGGTACTAGGTTAAACACTTATGCAAACACACACATCAGACGTCTGCCTATATATATATTGGCTAACTCAGGGTTGCTAGAAGAATAACATTAATTCAACGTCTTAAGGAATCTTTAACCTAACTCTATTTTTGGTGTAAATATGGTGTTAAATACTCGGACGGAACATCATTTTCAACATAAGTTTGGTGTTATGAATAGTATAACATAAAATGTTGTCCTATTTATTAACCATTAAATTTGGTATTTAAGTTTCCTGTGTCATTTATGGTTCTTCAAGTTTGAATTTATACATGAGTTTATATATTTGTGATAGTTTCATAAAATGAATGTTTTATAAACGTAATTTTTTTTATTCAATAAACTGTTTGTTTGTATACTATTATAATTAATTGAAGTTAATTGTATACGAATTATTATTTGTGTGGTTATCTTTGTTTAATAATAAAAAAGGTGCAAGACAAATTTGACTAAAAACAAATAAATAAAAGTATTTTTTTTTTATTAATCTAGACAAGTTAAAAAAACAAAGAGTCGATATGTTGTAAAATGATGTCAAGGGTCGATATGGTCTACTGAAAGTGAAATACGTTATTTGAAAAGTGAATTATTTTGTTTTTGAGTGGTTACAGGTGATTTTAATGTGGCTGAGCACATTGAAGATGATGAAAGCAATGCATACAGAATTTCCTACACCAACTATATACTGTTTGGGTTTCAATCTTTGTTTGTTGTTTTTACTCTATTATTCTGATTTCCTTTTGTTATTGCTTTTTTTCTTTTATATGTAAGTGAGATTTGTTTATGTTAAAATCATGTCCGATCATATGATATTTTGAAGTCACTTTATGAAAATCAAATTGAGGCTCTATAGAAAAGGTTTTTGTAAAAATAGTATTAAATAAAGTATTTATTGTTAAATTTAAAACTAAAAATTGATAATAAGTATATTGTAAGCACCTTATAAATGTCTTCGGTAAATAGTAATAATAAACTGAAATTGCTACCGACAGTTTTTCAAAAGAGGACATGTAATAGATATGTCATGCACTTGTTACACATTTTAAAATTTTTTAAAATTATGAGCAAGATGTCCCAATCGTTTAGCTATTGATTATTTGGTTGTGATATCTTCTTAAATAACTGAAAAAGGAAACAAAATACTTTGTCAAAATCATCAAGTACAAAACTAATTCTTTTTAATAAATGAATTTTTTTTTTACCACCAATCAAATTATCTAAAATTTTGCTACATGTAAATTTTTAGGAGTTTTAGAATTATTATTTTCCACTTGCCATTTTTTTGGAAATTTCTATTTTCTTAACATAAAATTACACAAAATTCTAACGAGTTTTATAAGGAAAGAAAATCATTCTATTAATTTGATAATAAAGTCTCATAAATGCTCTAAAGAATATTTGATTTATTTTATAAATATTCCAAAAGATTAAATTATATTATATAAAAATACTATTTTATAAATTCTTTAATGTTTAAATATTGATATTAAATTTGTATTTTTAATAAACCCGTGTAATATGAGAGTCTCACATCTAATCTCTATAATGCTTCTCCCAATTTGTTAAATATTTATAGTACAATTTAGATACTTTTTCACCAATGAATATCTGAATGTAGGATGTCCTAACTTTTAGGATCATAAACGTTCAAGTTAATATATATATATATATATATATATATATATATATATATATATATATATATATATATATATATAAGTTCAGATATTCTAACCAAATATTATATGGATGTAAGGATGAATGTGAGCCAATCATTTCAAATACCTAAATAAGGGTAAAATTATAATCTTAGCTAATAATTAATTCTGGTAAATTTAAATCAATTATTTTCCCTTTTAATAAGAATCGGTTTCATAGCCTTAACCCTAAATCTCGTTCCAAGCCTTCTTCACCAGAGAACATACGATTTCTACCAGAAATCCAAACAAGTCGCAAATCCGGTGGTGTTTGTTTTGCTTGGTGTTCGGCAGGAGGAGTCCGATGGTCTCCAGAGTTGATGATTCCGGACCTCTTGTATTGTTTCTGCAAGTGCATAGAAGCCCTTTTTGCTAACATATCTATAAGTACCAACAATGGAGACTGAATTTGGAATTGCATTAAGCCCAGTTCCACCATCCAACATTGTTACAAAAACAACCTGCAAAATAACTTTCAATAAAAACTGTTCAAGGGTATATATATCATGGATTAGGGTTTGTGTTTTAAATCCGATTTCTTACAGGCATATCTAAGGGATCAACCTCTTGAGATACAATATGTTGTAAGCTAATTACTGTAGCTGAAACAACCAAAATTGGATCAGTTACAGAATCTTGAGGAATAGCGGCATGACCTCCTTTGGCATGGATCACCGCCTTGAAAAAGCCACACCCCACCAAGAAGTCGCCGGATCTAGATGCAACGACACCAGAATCCAAGGAGAGGAATAAATGTAGACTGAAAATGGCCTCCGCTTTTTCAAGAACACCTTTTTTGATCATCTGTTTTGCTCCTTCGCCTTGTTCCTCAGCCGGTTGAAATATCAATACCATAGTGCCCTAATTAATTAATTAATTAATCCAAAGTTAGTTACTTTTGAGGTGATCAATCGAACCCCAATTGATCTTTATGACCAGTTTACCTACCCGTAATTCATTTTCTAGTTATTTCAAGATTTTGGCAGCACCAATAAGCATTGAAACATGTGCATCATGTCCACATGCATTGTATTCTAACTAATTGTATATTTGAGAATGATATTTTTTTAAGAAATTTATGCATTTTGATGAAATTTTGTTAGAATATGCATTTTGAGAATGATATTTTTTAAGAATTTGTTCAAGAATTGTATATTTGAGAATTATATTTTTTATGAGACGAGTCAACTTGTCGAGTCAGGGCATGGACTCATCAAGTTCATCCAACTCGTTGAGTTCCTCATAGAACTTGTAACGCCTAGTTCACAGTAAGTATTTTTAAATTTAAACAACTGCATGTTTTACACTGGGACTCGACGATTTGGAGGCCTAACTCGTCGAGTAGACTAGACTTTGGACGCGGGTTTTTAAGTAACCTACTCGACGAGCCGGGAGCCCGACTCGATGAGTAGGTCTGCCTGGATGAAACCCTAATATTTAGGGTTTGCACCCTATTTAAATACATTATCTTGTCCCAATACAACCTCCATCATCTCTCATAGTCCAGAAAAGCCCTAACTCGAAACCCTAAAGCATTTGGAGTGTTCTTGAGCCATTTTTTGTGGTTTGGTTGTTTGAAGCTTGAAGAAAGAAGTGGAAGCTTGGGGGTTCTAGAAGAGGCAAGTAGATCCTGAGGTTTTGCTTTGTTAGCAGCTCATCCTTATTTATATTTAATCCATTTTTTTGGCTTGGCTAGGCGGGATAGCCGAGCCACTCCCCTTTCTTTACGATAATGAAACCATCCAGTCAAAACCAATCCAATAAAGAAACAAATTTATCTAA